GGTCCAATGAAAGGCCTTGATAACCCCCCCCTCCCCCAGTAATTATTTACAGAATTTCTCCAATATCCTACAGAGGAACTAATATTTTAATATAAGACTTTCACTTTCTGTGAACAGATAAAAAATTCTTAGTTTTTAACCTAGTATTTCAGAGAGTGTCAAAAGCGAGTGACATATCAGCTCAGTAACCCATTGATTAACCATGTACAGTAGGCAGTGTCCATGCTTTAAATCTCACCTCAACCATAAACTCACTAAATAGCCATAGACAAATAATAGCCTTTCAAGCTTCATCCTCCTTATCTTCATATTTTATGGAGCTAATAACACTGGCTCAACCCTGTAAAGTAGACTGGCATCATCATCCCTATATGCAAATGGTGATGCTGCAATCCTATACACACTTCTTTGGGAGTATGGCCCAATGAATTCCATGGGCCTTACTTCCTAGTAGATATGTACAGGATCATGCTGCAAAGCTAGCACAAGCGGCTTATGGCCACTTTTTTTAAGTTCATGTTTGAGATACAAACTGGCCCCTTTCTGCTTCAGAGTTTACCCCTTCACCACACCACATCAGATATATTTATTTAATTAAGGTAAACCACTTCAAATTCAAGTGGCCACTTCTTTTCTTGGAACAAATTTCACAACTCCCTCCTACAGAGACGTATTTGGAAATGGATGGAAGCCAAAGGAGCAACCAGTTGTTGTGATCTAAATTGTATGGAATAATATATTAATTTCTCTGTAAAATGACCCACAACTGTTTCATAAAGGGTTGCTACTCATGCTTGTCCATTCATCGGTGAAATCAGATTCAGAATCTCAGGCCAAGTTCAACACAACAACTATATATTCTAAAGCAACAATTATCTGCATACTTAAAAGGTAAAGGGTAAAGGGACCCCTGACCATTAGGTTCAGTCGTGAGTGACTCTGGGGTTGCGGCGCTCATCTCGCTTTATTGGCCAAGGGAGCCGGCGTACAGCTTCTGGGTCATGTGGCCAGCATGACTAAGCCGCTTCTGGAGAACCAGAGCAGCGCACAGAAACACCGTTTACCTTCCCGCCGGAGCGGTACCTATTTATCTACTTGCACTTTGAAGTGCTTTCGAACTGCTAGGTTGGCAGGAGCTGGGACCAAGCAATGGGAGCACCCCATCGCGGGGATTCGAACCGCCTACCTTCTGATCAGCAAGTCCTAGGCTCTGTGGTTTAACCCACAGTGCCACCCGCGTCCCTATCTGCATACGTACTAAGGATCAAATTCTAATAAAAGAATGATTGTACTCTCCTACATTTGCTTATGTCCAGCATTATCCTGATAAAGAATAGCCTTATGTATTATTCAGAAGAACATCTAGTCCCAGACTCATAGCACTTCTAAGATCCCCAGCAGACCTTGTTCCCACCCTGTTATCCAAGTTCCTTTAGCTGCCAAGAGTTTACATGTAGAAAGCAAGGAACCACAAGGGCATCAGATCCAGCCTCCAAGGAATGTTTCACCCGCTGTTACTTCCATGGTGTCCAGTGACAGCTGTGGCACACTCCTTAGAGGCTGGATCTGACAACTCCTTGGCATCCCTCCCCCATGCTACCTATTTGCCAAGCAGCCTCTTGGCAAATAGGAAGCCCTGCTGGTCTCCTCCCACCCTTGTTCCCTATGTAGATCTTACTCAGACATTCTTTTATGGATTGTGGGAGGGGGGTACATTTTGTGGTTTGCCTCAGGTGGCTAAATATCTTGGGGCAACCTTGGTAGAAAGTATTGTGTTTCACAGCAGATTTTCCCATGGAACCCCTTCTTGTGTCCATCTTTTCACACCAGCAGTATATCACAAACCATGACTTTGGAGTTTGACTACGCCACTGCCAACTGTTTAGGACAGTGTGTTAGACAAAGTATTGGAAAGAAGCCTAGTGGGGTGATGACTCCAGAGACCTCATGTGAACTAGAGCACCTTATGTTTTTATTACTTAAAAAAAACAAAAAACACTCTGCCTTGTGCTGCTATAACAAGACTATGTTCCTCCTTAATAAAAACAAAACCAAGTTCTAGGATCCCAAAGACAACACCAAGAAAGTTTAGCACTGGCAGACTCACATTGTATCCTGAAAGGAAACTTTCAGCTTTTGGCCCTGATTTTTCCAATAGAAAGGCGGAGGAAGAAATGTGTATTGTAACAACTTGCCTTTATACACATAACAAACCAAACCCAGGAAGCAAGCTGCAGAGACACCTTCTAACACCACCATTTACATACAAAAACCTAGGTCCCAAGCATATTCTGTTTGCAATTCATTTCACATATTTTCACTGAGTAACAGCTCTAGCATTCTAGAACAGAGGGCAAAGCAGATCCAGGAGAAAGGAAGTCTGTTTGCCAGCTGTAAAAGATGCATAATTCTTTTATTAGGTTCGGGGGGGGGGGAGACAAAGGAAAAGAACTGAATAGACCCACAACCCCCTGGAAAAGTAGGTTAGTACTTGATGGTGTTACCAGACATCTTATTCTAGTACATTACAATCCTAGAGCTTATAATGGATGCTATCCCACAGGTGCGCAGACCAAATAACTACATGTACTGTAGTCTGTTATTTTTATCTCACAATCTAAAACACAGGAAGTAAAAACACAGTGAAATCTGTTAAAACATGTCAAGGGTGCCCCCCTCCAGAAAAAATGCAAGGGAAATTGGGTAAGGGAGAGAGAAACGATTTAACTCTTCCTTACCTACCAACTCCTAAACCAGTTGGGATGACATTTCCCACCCAGTCAAAAATGCAAGCAAAGAGTACATTACACACTGAGTGCATGTGAGATGCCAACAACCATTGGGGCAGGCATGGGAGAGAAACAAGGAAGGCCAAAAGCAGCATCTTGGGAATGAAGTCGTTTTTGGTAACCTGTCTGCTGCAGCCTTCCATCCTTTACTTACGAAGATACAGCCAGCCAGGCAGAGATCAAATTAGAATGCCACCGGTTACACTGTTACGGCCAGGACCAGACTCCTAAATGGCCCTTCCATAGCAGAGCACCAGCACATTCTAATAAACAAGACGCAAAAAAAGACCCCAACCCCCAGATATTATATGCTTATGCAAAAGTAGTTAATCATAGTAGGCCAGGAGTTGGAGGACAGAAGATGGGGAGGAGGGGCGAAGAGAGAAGGAGAAACAGCTCTAATACAACCCCCCAAGGAAAGCAGCGCAACGGATCGTAAGAGCGGGGGCTCCGATATCTCCATGGAGCAAGCTCTCCCAACTCTTCCCACCCAGCGTCGCTTGAAGAACCATCTCCTAGCAGGTTTCTTGCAGCAACGGGGACACCCACAGCGCCCACCCAACTCGGCGCCTAGGAGATTCCGCTGCTGAATGGGATCGACACCCCGCAGCCAGCCTCCCCGCGTCCCCGGAGCTCAGTCCTGGCCGAGCAAGGCTCACCATCTTATCGGCGTCGTGCGAATGCCAGAAAGTGCTGGCTTCTGGGTTGGGCACGGCCATCGGTGGAGGCTCCGGGAGGGCATCGGCTACATTTAACTTCTTCACGGTCGGCGGAGGGAAAAGGGGGGGGGGGGAATCGAGCCAGCACCAAGCAGCCTCCAGGAGCCCCCTGCCGCTCGCTCACCCAAAAGCTTCTTTCAGTCGAGGTGGTGCGGGTGGGGGGGGGGTAGAGAGAGAATAATAAAGATCAAGCCAACAGGGCGTCCCTTAGCCGAGCCAACAGCGTGCGAGCTCCGCAACCGGAGCCCGCGCTCCTCTTCTTCCTGCTGCAGCCGGGCCGGCGGGCTCGCCAAGCAGCTAGCCCGCAAGAGGCGGCGGCGGCAGCAGCCACGAAGGACTTTCGCCTGGCCAGGAAGAGTCAGCCTGCTGCACAAAGCCCCCGATTCTTCCCGCTGAATGGATCTCTCTTCTCTCTGTCCCCCGCCCCCCCCCCATCTCGCCCTCCTCCATCCCGCCCCATGGCAAAAGGCATTTGACCTGGGGGGAACCACCACACACGCGCGCACGGTTAAAAAAAAAAAGCAAAAAAAAGCATTAGTGCAACCTGCAGACACGATTTAAACGCAGAAAATTGGAGGAAGAGACGAAGTACCTTGTATGTGCTGCTTGATGACATTCTCCAAATGGTCCAGCCTTTCTATAATCCTTAAAGTGTCCCCTTTGTCTTCCTTCTAACTTTTTCTCCGAGATCGGCTCCTGCACTTTCACATAGACCGTGGCAATGTAGTTGGTCACCCAGCCCACGTAGAGCAAGCAGATGATGTTAGTCATTCCACTCAGGATCACGCAGGTGGACACCAAAGTTTTGGTTTTCCTGGTGCAAACCATGCTGAGATCCCTCCATATAGCTCCAAGGAAACCCTGTGGTCCGGCTACCAAACGGGGCGGCGAGAGAGAAACCCACAAACCCACGGCACGCTATAAAGAAATAGTCGGCGTGTATATTATTAACAGCTTGCCTTCACTTTCTCCGAGGACTGAGGAGCGCGGAGCACGCCGCTCAAGTCAGTGAGTTCCCATGCGAAACGGGGGCTGCTCCCCGGACGAGGAACATCCCTTGCCTACCCCGAAGCAGAGCTGAGGCGAGAGTTGGCGCCTCGAGGTTCCCGCAGGCTTAAAATAATAAAATAAAAAGAGAGCCTAAAACTTTTCTGCTTTCCCACCCCTCAAGAGCCGCACCAAGAGCAAACCCGTCCTCTTCCAGGCTGAGCAGCTTCGCCCCGGACGCCAGGCGCGTGGAAAGGTGCGGAGTCAGGTGCCCAAATGTTGCGAAAACTTTGTTCTCCTCGTCGGCGCTGCTTCCCACAGCCTCGCAGCCACCGCTCCAAAGCCAGCCCTTGGAAGCCGCGAGCGGGCGAGTCGGTGTGTACGGCCCGCAGACCGGCAGGCCTCCTCTCCAATGAGCGAGGCGCGCCGGCCCAGAGCGCGCCGGCGGCCCCGATCGCCCGACCAATGGGGACGCGGGAGGGGCGGGGCTTCGTCAGAGGCCCACCTGCTGTATTGCATGCCTTCCTCTCAGTCGCTCACTCGCTAGCTCGGTGCGTTGTTAGACGCGCGCGCTTAGCGCTAGGGCGTTTGCGCGGTGGAAACTCCCGGCCAGGGGAGCCAACCTGCAGCGCAGATTAAGCTAAGAGGCTCCTGCAACCCACCCACCAGGCCTGCTGAAGTTTTACCGCCCTCACCGAATGTGAGAGGAAAAGGTTAATTCTCTTCGTTTTCCAGCCCAGCCTCTCTCCTCTGCTTCTTAGAGAACCTGCTGCGCCTCGCTGTTTTTATTTGGCTCCTGTTTATTGCCACCACCTGCGGCGCCCACCGTGACTAAGGGGGTCAATAAGGTATTTCGAAGCAAATAAGGCGATTATTGCTCGGGCAGCTCTTAACGCGGCTCCTCATCTTAGAATCTCATTGATCTGCTGCTGGGACGAAGCCAGGGAAATCCCCCTGGCGCCTATAAACCGCCGGGTCCCTTCCTCCTTGGCTGCATGTATTCAGTAATTCCCCAATCTGCCAATGAATTAAAGTCCCGGCCCTGTTCACCGCTTGTTCGAGTGCTTCTGATTGCTAACTATATGGCTCTAATTGCATGATTGTTGCTTGTTATTATGTGCTTCTCGAGAAATAATTCACAGTCTCTTTTTCTGCGTACCCTCCCAAGAACTCCCGAGTGCTGCTGCATCATTGGGTGACACTGTTATTGTTGTTGCTGAATTTATAACCCACCTTTCTACAAAAATACGCAAGGTGCCTTACACGAAACTAACATAGTACACAAAAAGATGAAAGATAAACAAGCAAAAACAAAAGCAGTTAAAAGTCAATGGGGTCAAAGTCAAACCCTATAGAGACACTCTGCATATTATTCCTATTTCTAGCGGCATCTCTTATTTGTGTGGACATGCTGCCCACCGTCTAAACTTGCATAGCTCTAACCAAACTTCTTTAGGTGCTTAGCCCACACAGTATTGCAAAAATGACACCAACTTCAAGTGTCATGGCCAAACTTTATTATTTGACAAGTCTGACCCTCCCTTATGTGCACCAAAGACATCAAGTCTATGCTTCTCTGAACTTACACAGGCCATCAGCCTGGAAGGGAGAGGATGGGAACAGTAGGGGGGAAATGGAAATGGACAGAGCTGAAACAGAGCAATAGAAGGGGTTGGCGAAGCCTTATGTAAACAATCTCTGTGTCCGTTTATATGCAATCTTTTTATAAAGTGCTCCACAGCCCAAAGCTACCAAAGCAGAGTTCAATAAGATAAAAGTTACAGACTAAAACCACTGCTAAAAGGTAAAGGTAAAGCTAAAGGTAAAAGGTAAAGCTAAAGCTAAAACCACTGCCACAATAGTACAATTAATATTCCATAAAAGACAAAATAGCTGTGTTTTTTGGGAGGAGAGTGTTAGATAAAGATGGGATAACAGAGAGTGAGATAGGGTGACACACTGAGAGAATGTTACAAAAGTGGGTGTACTTTTGCCCTGGCTCCACCCATAAGGAGGGGGGGAAAGAGAGAAAGCCTGCTGGATCGGGTCAAAGGTCCATCTAGTTCAACTTCCTGTTTGCACAGTGGCCAACCAGTTGTCTAAGGGAAACCCATGAGCAGAACTTGAGCAAAACAACACTCTCCCCACCTGTAATTCCTTTCCCCAGCAGCTGGCATTCAAAGGCATGCTACCTCTGACAGAGGAGGAAGAACATATCCATTGTGACTAGTAACCACTGATAACCTTATCCCCCATGAATTTCTTTTAAAGACATCTAAGTTAGTGGTCATCACTACTGGCCTTGGTTCCACTCACTGCCAGTACAGGTGGTGACCATTTTGTTTGGATACAATTGGTGCATGACTAGCAACACGTGGGTCCTTTTGGACCAGGAAGAGGGCAGGATGGGGCAGGCTTATGTGCGCTTTGCCAATTTGTGTGGGGGCCAGGAACAGAACCTGCACGCAAAATGCTTGCCACTTGTATGCCTTTGAGAAAACAAAACAAAAAAGGTTCTCCATCCTTGGACTACAGCAAACTGGATTCCAGTGAGTGATTGGGAGGGGGACTCTGTTTGAGGAAAAACTCCTATGAATATTTGTTTCACAAACACTTCAGTTACAGCTTTCTGTATAATGTGAATCTCCTGACATGAAATGGTTTAGTATCCTCCCTTCTCTCACATCCTTTTATCTTTTTTGCATATTGATGGCTCTCTTCTGAGGGATTTTTGTCATGGAGTAGGGGCTCTTGGTTTTTGTATTAGAAAAAACCCGCTCAGCTGCACTGCGATGGGCAGCTTGCCCCTCAGCCATTCCTGTTTTACGGGGTTGCTTGTTCTTTTTGCACAGGACCAATAAATGGTATAACAGTCCTCTACCAATATTAATGGGCACTGCCTTTCTCTGTCCCCCTCTGTAATTCGAACACTACTCAGCACACTGACTGCTATAAAGCAATTAAATAGGTGCCCAAAGCATCGGAAGGCTCTAACTTGCTCAGCCCTTTGATAAACTGAGGCACAGGTGAAGGAACAGCAATGCCCTCTGACCTCGTAACTATGAACTATTTGTTCTCTTCAGCACTTCCTCCCATTTTTCGATGCTGTTACATTTAACTCCAGGGATTAGGTTGTATGTATGCTTGTACAAGGCTATGGAGGCGGTGGAAGGAAACTCAGCAGAACAGGGCTACGTATAGAAAAACATTCCTTATACCACAAGTATGGCGCTGGTAAATTCCCCTATAATTCTGCCAAATTAGTGGCCGCCACTCCCCCCAGAAGCACAGACCGCATACTGTTCAGGCCAAACTATAAATGCTACTTCCGAGGTGTCATGAGGTGAACTGCCTGTGAGGTAAAAGCCTGTAAGAGGAGGTAGCAAGTTACAGGGTATGAATGCTATTTGTAGTCCTGTGGGTGGATCTGCTTGACTTGAAAATTTGTATGCAGCTTCAAATACTGATTGCAGGAGAGAACTGCATGCTGGCAAAGGAATGTTCTATATATATAAACAAACAAACAAATTCTCATGTGGACAGGATTATGTATTTAGTTAACTATGTTTCAACTACCATATTACATCTATAGAGGATTTATTTATGGTAGTCATGCTAATATCTGGAGACATCATGGTGGTGTCAGTGTCATGGCTGGGCCTGAACCTGGAACAGATCCAAGTAATCAGCTTCTTTCAAGCATGTCTGAAGTTGGACCACCATCACCCTCTCAAGCACCTTACTCAAAAGGGGATATTCATCACTGGGTGATTGCTGTTTTAACACCCTGATTACAGAGTGGTTCTCTTAAGGGGACAACACACATCTTCATGTAGCTTGTCCACATCCTCATGTCGCTACATTCAAAACTAATAGACAACTTGGATTTAGTGTCTTGGACTATGATCTCTTACATGCGGTTATAGGCATTTTTCTTAACACACTCATGAGAACTCTGATATGTGCCTTTGTAGCTCCTTGAAAATTCTGTTAGTGAATGTCAGCAGCTCTGATGACCTGAATTCATTCAGCTAATATACTGTCTCCTAGATCAGAAGCAACATGCCTCTGAATGCCGGTCTCTGGAGAACAGCAACAGAAGCAAGTTATTACGCTCATGTTCTTCTTGCTTACATCCTGTAGGCATTTGATTTGCCAGTGTGAGACACAGGATGCTGGGCCATAAAAGGCTTTGGTCTAAACCAGTGGAGCTCTTTTTAGGTCCTTATAGTTTGCTAGGCACAGAAGTGGAACAGTCATATCATCCATTGTCCCCGTTTCCCACCCCCACCCCCATTGCTCTTAAATAATAGCTCTTTTCCAGATTGGTGACCTGTAGTGCAGAAGGTACACATACTCCAACTACATTTAATATTCTCAGTCATTTAGTTATGTAAATGTTTAGGTTCAAAAATCTTTACTTCATTTTTTTAATCCATCCTTACAATCCTTTTAGCATAAGCAGAGCCAATGACTTCCATTAGATTGCCAAATAAAGCAAAGATTTGAACTCAGCTCTTCCCATACAAAACCCAACAATCTACCTACTACACCAGCCTTGCCCAGCCTCCAGATGTTTTGTGTTAGAGGTCCCATCATCCTTTGACCATTGTTTGTCCTGGCTGGGACTGATGGGAGTTGGTGTCCAAAACATTTTACAAGCACTAAATTGGGGAAGATTGTGCCACACAATTATGTTTACCTTGAGATAGAGAAACACCCTCACAACATGAACAAGCGTGACGACACGTCCCGCCTGCCAGACATCTGGAAATTAGCCCTCCCCACAAAAACCGACACCAGATCCAGAGGCACACAGAACGCCATCACCAATCAACCACACCAGACCCAAACCCAGACCCTCTCCACAGATAAATTACAGACACCATCCAGTAGCCAAACCATGGTGGCACCTCCGGATGCTGCACCCCCCTGCAATCCCTACACAGATCTGGCTGGCACAGGGCACAAAACCACAGCTCGCCCCTATACACGAAGCCAAGCCAGAGCACAACTAAGTGCAGTACAACCATCTTCTCAGAAAAACTCTTCACAAAGTTCAAGAGGTCAAGACACGAAGGCTTTAGCAACTATTCCACACCTAATGACCCACCTAAGTGGTACTCAGAATATCACTCAAGAAATCACTCAAGATATCCCTCAAGTAATTAAGGAACAAAAGAAGAAAAGGCACACTAGCCTGGGATATATATATATTAAATATAATGAGCAGAGGCACTTGTTAGAAAAGTCAAAGAGAAGCAATAACCTACTCTGCGTTTCAAACCACAGATGATTACACCTGCGAACCACCTATTTCGCTGAATACCATGAGGCATAAAAAACAATCATGATTAATTTACTTAAAATATATTATTTGATTGCAATTAAATATTAAGTAGCAAGCAGCATGTGACTAAGCACATATGAACAGCAAGCAGCATTCATTTCCCCAGTCTGAACAATCAATCTTATAGTTATCACTCTTTAAAAAACACAGAATGCAAGAAGAGCCCTGCTGGATCAGACCAAAGGCCCATCTATATATACCCAGGTGGGGTATATCTTATTATTATTATTATTATTATTATTATTATTATTATTATTATTAACAACTCCAACAACCTGTTCTCACAGTGGCCAACCAGATGCCTATGAGAAGCCCACAAGTGTTCCATTTGCAATGTGATTTTATACACACACACACACATTCTCTCTCTCTCTCTCTCTCTCAGAAGAAAGACCCACTGAGTTCGTGGAACTTATTCCCAGATAAATGAGCAAAGCATCACTACCCAGATTTCCTAGGTGGAACCTGGGTGGATTTGTTCTCAAAGATTACACTATT